TACAAGGGAGATATATCATTGGGTGTTGTACTCTCTAAGAGCACGAACCCATCTAGCCTATAACTATACATACACCACATATCTATAAGTTGACAAATTCCGCTCAATTGTGTCGGCTCTGACTGGTTCATTCCAGCAAGGATTTGCTGACGGGAGAGTCACGAGCTAATGCCACAGAATCTAGCAACACGTCCCCCTAAGGAGAATGTTCCATCAGAAAACAAATTCAAAGAGCTACATTTTTATGCCTTCCAATCTTTTTTCCCTTAACGTACCTTTAAGAAGCGCATGGGCTTCTACAATTTATTTGATTATAAGTGCATGTGATTTTAACAGGGGTTCCATTACAAGAACATACGCGCCTATATCCGGGTGTATACGGTACTAGTCTGCCCACTGAGACAAGGGCCAGAAGGCCAATCAACAAGAGTAAAAAGAGAGGCGGTATAGAGGAGCAAGTACAAAAACCGTTATAAAAGAGATCAGGATACAAGCAAGGGAGAGGCAACTGAGACCAAACCAAGCTGAGTACAAAACCGTTGATGGTCACAAGGCCCTAGGGCCTTGGTGAAGATATTGTCAACAAAAATATCTAGCTAGCTTACACATGTTTGTTATAACTTCGTTAGGTCAGCTATTAGAGGGGACAACACTTGGTACTTGTATCTCCTCTCCCCTTTTCCTAGTGGAACTTTCATGCAACTCTAATATGGCATCTAGAGCTAGGTGTAGTAGATTCCTCCTTAAGCTTCCGCTGTAGCACATGCTCCCCCCCCCTAGCCTACCGCGCCTCGCCCCTAGCTGCGTGCCTCATCGCTAGTCGCCTCCCTTCCCTCCCCTGCTCGCTGAGCAGCTCGCGCAAGCTAACGCCAGCCACCGTCAGCCCGCACCAGCCGCCGCCTTCGTTAGTCGCCAGAGTCGCCCCCTCCTCCCCCGATATTTCGGCGCCGGCCCCTCCCTCCCACGGCTTGCTTGGACTAGTCGACGGCCAGTGCCACCGCCAGCCAGCTCGCCAGCTCGCCAGCGCCAGCCCACACGGTGTAGCCAGCGCCAGCTAGCTCACTGGCTCGCCAGTGCCAGAGCCAGCTGGCTAGTGCCAGCCAGCGCCAGCCAGCGCCCGCGCCAGCTAGCCCGCATCAGCCAGCGCCAGCGCCAGCCAACCAGTGCCAGCAACATGCTGCCAACGGCCAGCGCCACCAGCGCTAGCAGCCAGCAGCCAGCGCCAGCTGCCAGCCACCAGCAGCGCGCTGCCAGCAGCCAGCACTAGCCGCCAGCCGCCAGTGGCAAGCTGCCAACAGCCACCGCTAGCCGCCAGCTGCCACCTGCTGTGCATTGCTGCCCACTGCCGCCCGCTGCCACCCACTGCTGCCGCTGCCACCCACTACCACTGCAGCTGCCGCTGCCACTGCCGCAGCTACTACTGCCCACTACCACTCACCGCCGCCTGCTGCACTGCTGCAGCCACTGCAGCAGCTGCTGCTGCCCGCTGCTGCTGCCCGCTGCCGCCTACAGCCGCCTACTGCCGCCCGCTGCCACTGCAGCTGCCCCTGCCGCAGCCCCTACCGCAGCCACTGCCGCCCGCCGCCGCCCGTTGCCGCCTGCTCCCAACCATTGTCGCCTAATCCCGCCCACAGCCGCTGACTGCCGTCTACTGCCGCCTGTTGCCACACACTGCCGCTGCCTCTGCAGCAGCACTGCCGCCGCGGCCCGTTGCCCCTACTCGCAGCTTCTCTCTGCCACCACTAGTAGCCTCCCACTGCCGCTGTCTGCAGCCTTCTCCTACCGTTTCCAGCAACGCGTCGATGCAGTAGCCGCTGCCGTTGCCGCTGCGGTCATCGTCGCCGCTAGCTGCCAACATGGCGATCCCGCCGGCCGTTGTCCTCCGCCTGGATGCCGAGGGTCGCGCGATTGGCTTCTCGGCTTGGCTAGTCGCTCTCCGCTGCCAGCTCACGTCTATCCGCTCGGACGGCCAGGCCTTGTGGCCCACACCTCAGGTACGTTAGCTGCCCCCCCCAGAGCCCGCTGCTCCTGCTGCTTACGTGACATCCGCAGAGCGGACTGAGTTCGAGACTGCCTAGCCACCCTCTCTGTCTGGCAGTCTTGCAATGCAGCAACACATTTGGTAGTGACTAGGGCCCTCCCCCTGATGAGCAGACTCACTTTGAGACGCTCGAGACTGCTAAGGGTATTTGGGACGATGTTGTCGCTTACTACTCTACCCAGTCCTCCGCCACCCTAGTTCGTCTTGTACTGCTGCTCCTGTTCCCTGACCTAACCTCCTTCTCCGCTGTAGTGGACTTGGTAGCGCACCTGCAGTCCCTTGAGTCTAGCTGGCGTGCAGCCTGCCCTGATGAGCACCGCACCACCCACTTCCCTCCTACCTACCTCCCCCTGTGCCTCCTTGCCACTTGCCTCTCTAACCGTCTCGTCCCTGCGCGAGACGCGCTCCTTGCTGTGCTCCCCACCTCCCTCACTCTCGCTAAGTTTTCCACAGGCCTGACGATGATTGAATCGCGCCTTCGTGCCATCGCTGAAACCACTAGCATGGTGGCGGTCCCCATCCTTCAGGGCTGCTTTATCCCCCAACTCCCTGTCTCTTCGGCCTATGCCTCTGTTGCGGAGGTCACCGAGACCGCTGCGGCGGTCTCCACGCCTAGTCGCTCCTCGAGCCAGGTGGGCAAGGGCAAGCGGGGCAAGGGTCGTGGGGCATCGACAGCGGCGGATGGAGGGGGTGCAGGGACAGATGGAGACGATAGTAAGTCGGAGTCGGGGACTGCCAGCAGAAGTAGCCGCAGCAGCAGCAGCAACTAAGGTCGCAGCAGTAGCAGCAGCAGGCGCTGCTGCCGTAGGGGCTGGCAGGCCCTGGGAGTGGTGGTCGTGGTGGAGGCCATGGTGGTTGGGCCCCAGGGCAGTCCGTGCACTAGGGGTTGCTGCTCTTCTATGGGCTAGGGTGATGGCGGTCCTAGAGGCGGTTTGACCTGTATTTACCAGCTGCTGACCAGCCCCGAGAAGGGCCAGGTTTGCATGCGCGCGGGCCACACAGCCGCCCGCTGCTTTCGGTGCCTGGACGACCTCTACCACCGCCAGTACAGCTCCATGGTGCAGGTACCTCCCTGGCACACTTTGCTTCGACGCGGCATTCTGATCTTTGATATTGATATAATTCGAATAGAGCATGCGATATATTCTGTGTATGCTGATGACACGATTATCCTGCTATTTGTAGTCTAGGATCCACTGCTGTTTGTAGTCTAGGACCCTGTTTTCCATACGCAGAGCTACTGGGGTGCCCCATGTACCTGATGACTTGCACTCGACCAGATCTAGCGTACCCTTTCAGTATCGTTGCTCGCTTTGTTACAACAGGCAACACCGACCACTCCACTGGTCAGCTGCCAAGAGGGTGTTGCGATATCTGCGAGTACATCAGAATTGGGGCTTGTACTAGGAGGACGGGAGCCAATGGTGCTCACTGGACACACCGACACCTCGTGGGCTGACGGCGTAGAGATGCTCAGGTCCTTACAGGGCTATTTTTTTAGTCTTGGTTCTGATGTAGTCTCGTGGAGGCCACTAGGTCATCGTCTGTAGCTCAGTCCAATTGTGAGGCAAAGGTCTACACTGGGACCATGGCCGCTCAGGAGCTCACCTGGCTGACGTTCTAGCTCACTAACTTAGGTGAGCCGCCTAGGTCTGCCCCGGTCCTGTTTGCTGACAACATGGCCATGATCCTCTGGTGTCAAGAGGCTCGACTTGAGGGCAGGGCGAAGCACATCCAGCTACACGTGGCCTCAGAGGCCAACACTGCTGGTATGTTCACCAAGGTACTACCGTCTCATGACCATCAGCAATTTTGAATCAGCAGTGTTGACCTCTGAGACCAATTGTAATACTTAAGCCCGACCGCACAACTGCAACTTACGCAATAGGAAGTACAACTCCTGGATGTGCTGGGCCTTGCCTTCAAGTCAAGACTCATGAGACAGGAGGATCATGAACCTGTTATCGGCAAACAGGACCCGGATATACCAAGGCCGCTCACCTAAATCAGTGAGCAAGAACATCAGGGAGCGGAGCTACTAAGCAGCCATAGCCCCAACGTAGATCTCTGCCTCAGAAATAGACTGAGCTACAGACGAGATGAGAGGTCCTACTGGACCTAGTGGACCTAATAGAATTTCCTAGTGGGCCTCCACGAGACTGCACTCGCACTAAGACTAAAGCAATAGCCCTATGAGGACCTGAGCGTCTCCAAGTCGTTAGCCCATGACGCGTTTATGTGTCTCGTGAGGACCACTCGCTCCCATCCTCCCAGCACAAGCCTCGGTCCTAATGTAATAGCCCGATACCCCAACACCCTCTTGGCAGCCGACCAGTGCTCTGGCCAGGGTCTGCGAGTTGCAACAAAGTGAGCAAGGATACTGAGAGGGTACGCTAGATCTGGGCAAGTGCCGTCATCAGGTACAAGAGGCACACCACCAGCTCCGCATATGGCCCACTAGGCTCGACCTGCACACCGGAAACAGGCGCTGAGAGCTTGTGATCCACAGGCAAAAGGGTGGGCTGAACTGGCGAGAACTGAAAGCCGAACCGATGGAGGATCTGCTGCATCATGTGGGATTGTGAGAGTGTGATCATGTGCACAACACGATCACCTAAGCTGCACTAAACGCTTATGGCGTTTTATACGTTAGCGTATGCAAGCTAAACACTTTTTTGGGATACGTATATGCTAGGCAGGGGGAAAAAAAATCCTCTGGGCAGGGAAAAAATTGTGACCAGGGAGGGGGGAAAAGGGATGTAGTGTGGGGAATCAATTTGCATTGCACCATGAAACAGTGAACATCGTTAAGCCTTTAAGGGATAAACAACCGCCATGTCAAGGTTTCTTCCAAAGCCCCTTCCCTTCCCATCCCTCAGCCATAACGATAAGTACTACCCAAATAACACAACATCCCTGATACCCCATGTCTGCCTACCAACTGCATGCTTGCCAAGCCTGCAGCACACTCCCCTAACGCTCAGCCTCCTTTTCCTCCTCTTCCTCCTCCCCCTCCTTTTCCTCCTCTTCTTCCTACCCCTCCTTTTCCTCCTCCTCCTCCTCCTCCTACTCCTCCTCCTCCTCCTCTCCTCCTCCTCCTCCTCCTCCTCCTCCTCCTCCTCCTCCTCCTCCTCCTCCTCCTCCTCCTCCTCCTCCTCCTCCTCCTCCTCCTCCTCCTCCTCCTCCTCATCCCTGTACTCATCATGCAGCACTGCGTCATCCTACAGGTAATTGTCCACCAAGCCTCCCTCTGCATGCACGTTGTAGCCCGCCGGGGTGGGTCGGGGATGTTCCCAATGAGCACCACCCTCGTCTCCTCGCTTGATAGGTGCCAGTTGTTTTCTCCATCCATGCAGAGTGCGACCATACTCTCTGATCCGACCTTCTATAGGATGGGGCGCAAAAGGTCGGCGATGTAGCCGCCGAACTTGCTCTGAATCCGGCAATCGATGATCTCCACGAATACAGCTCCCGGACCGTTCACAAGGAGGACATTTGCCAGCGGACACCCGTTCTGGTCGGTCATCATGTCGCAACAAATTGTAACGTGTTGCCCTCCCAACTCTCCCGAATGGGGTCCAACCATTCGTTGATGCGCTTGAGGACAGCCTTCAACCGTGCGTCGCCAATGTTGTTGCGGTTGGGAGGCATGTAGGTTCGCTCGGTAGCACCGATTGCTCGCACTCTATTAAGGAAGAGCGGGTGGCAGGTGAGGTGCTTTAGGATACGGAAGCCGGCGAGCATAAGACACAATGCCTCGTCGGCCTCCTTCCGCGCACATGCAGCCTTGTTGCCAAAGATAACAACCTTCTTGGTCTACATGGTCAGATCTTCCTGTGATGCCCACCGGTGCTCTCGGTCCATTGGTCCTGGAACCCAGTAGAGCCTGCACCGCCTTGTCTACTTTCTGCGCCAGGCGTCCTATGAGTGACACGACATGCTCCGCATTACACTCTCGGCTCTCCAGTTTTTTCCGTCCCTTGCTGACCCCTCGCTCTTTGATCGCGATGGTCAGACTCCGTTCTACATACTTGTGTACGGAGATGACCTTATCTTTGCTACTTCAAACAGAGTCGCACCGGCCTCGGTGAAGGTCGAGCTGCTCAAGTGACAAGCATGTACAGACCTGGGAGAGTTGGGGCGCTATTTGGGCTTGGAGATCTCTCGTGACTGTCTAAGTTGCACTAAACGCTCATAATCCATAGCGTATATCATATATACGCTATACGCTATATGAGTGTATAAACACTAAATGCTCGGCTGAAAATTTGGGGACAGCCCGTAAAAAATAATTCCAAAAAAATCTATTGCCACTTCGCGACATGGTGAAGCCAGCCACACTATCGCGAAATGTCGAGACCCCAATTTTTCGCCCAAATCCAACTTCCAACCAATCTGCCCCCTCCAGCCGCACTTCATCCCAAGGCATCTACCTAACCCAACCAAGCGTCAAGTCCTCTCTCCCGCAACCACCAAACACGCTAACGCTAATACAGTTCTCGTAACTTACCAGCCGCATTAGGTAGCAGATTAAGCTAGAACCTAAGCTTAGGGAGCACCACATAGCATCGTTTTAGGCAGCGCCATGTCGACCCCCCCCAGGATTCTGCAGCCGCAACTGCTGCAGATTCCGAATCATCAAACAAGTACACACCTGATAGTACTCATGCGGTTTACGATTCCGATTTCAATGTGCGTGGCGGCGCCACAGGAGGTCTGTAATTAAATGAGCGTGCTAGATGAGAAAAAGAAAGGGCAGGCTAAGGTGTCAAAGCGGAATGCGGCAGAGGTTGCATTGGCTGCTGTCAACAGAGGGGGGAAGTGTACCAAGATCACTAATTTATCAGGAGCTCTGCTGGCTGACGTTCCTGCTCACTGACCTAGGTGAGGGGCCTAGGTATGTCCCGGTCTTGTTTGCTGATAACAGAGCCATGATCCTCCTGTGTCAGGAGGCTCGACTTGAGGGCAAGACGAAGCACATCAGGCTGTGGTAGTTCCTGCAGCGCGGCCAGACCCGCGTAGTATAGCTGGCCTCAGAGGCCAATACTGTTGATATCTTCACCAATGCCATTGGGCCTTGGTGATCATCGGCGATTTTGTACCCAGCTAGGCCTAGCCCTAGTTGCCACACACTTGCTTGTATCTTAAGCTGTACTGGTTTGTCTTGATACACCTAACTGGCCTTCTAGCCCTTGTCTCAGTGGCCAGACTAGTAGTGCAGCCTTGAGCTGTTTGCTACATACATCGGATGTTAGACTAGTAGTGTTGTACTAGTTTGCTGTGTTTGCTTTGCTGCTAGACTCTGCCCCTACCTAGACTAGGGGGTGTATTAACGTACATATATTGTATGTACTGTAGGCTAGCTAGGTGCAAAATATAGAGGGGACAACACGAATATAGGAACCCTGTCCTGCATGTGAAACTTCATCATTCTCTCAGCTGAACACAATCCTCCACAATGGCCTAGGCAACACGTGACAATGGATTTCGTTATTGGACTACAAGGGGGGCTTGAGCGGCAATGATGCAGCATATTGCTCCATATCGCACAACGATCACAACTGAAGAAACAACATGATTGTTCATGCAACAGTTTTTCGCCTGCATGCAATCCCTTTGGTGATCATAGCAATGGAGATCTGAAATTGACGTCAAGGTTTTGGCAAGCCACGTGGGCTCGGAACGGCATGCGACTGCAATTACCATCTGCATAGCATCCCTGGATGGATGGTAGGAGGAGCTAACTAATTAGACAAGGGAGCACTTGATTCCTTGAACCCTCATGAAGCTACGCTTTAGTCCGACTTCTCGACCTGGACCTCTAACATATCTGCGACGCTTCGACACCATATCATTCTCGAACCATTTTATCACATTGCAGCGTTCCGGTGTTCCTAAATATTGTGGACGTCATTCATTATATCGTCACTTGGTCATTCGCATTTCCGACATTTTCTTCCTCGCTACTCGCTTGTTTAATTCATAGCATTGACCCCAATGTTGCAACATTCGTATGGCAACGTTTGTTTAGTGGTTGCCTACTTGGGTACCAGCTCACAGACCCACTTGTAAACCGTACACCCGAGCCTATCGTTGCATATTATGAATGGAACTGCCGAGTAACGCAGAGTGTCAGAACTCAGTCACTAACCACTAAATTAAAAGGGCTTGTTAAGTAGCGGGTATGTGCACCCATAACCCCCCAGGCTCTACACCTGTGGCCCTTCCCCGAGGATCTCAAGGGCAACCCCAGCAGGTCTCCGACACCCCCCCTTGTTGGGATAGGCATGGAAGACGTTGCACCTCTGCTGGTGCAATGCCACCTCTACCGGTGCACACACTGGAAATTGAACCCAAGACCTTTGGCTCTGATGTACCATGTCAGAACTTGGAGGGAACTGGCGAAACTGTGAACGGTGAATGATTCTAGTCGTAGGATTGGAAGGTTCAGGAAAAGTATCGATGGATCTCGATGTGTCGGAGCGAGGTCCGGAAAGGCCCAGGAGGCTCGAACAGAAAGGTCTGGAACTGTGGCGATGGTTCAAGGCTGTTCGAGCCGTACGCCCTGCAAGCCACAATAAGGAATTACTAAATCCTTACATTGCCTGTGGATCAGTAACTTACAGTTAATAATGCACCCCACGGCGTCGTCTTTTCCAACCCACGTTACACTCAAATGTTTCGCTTGGGTTCGCGTGGTGCTGGTCTCTGGTCTCGTCTGGTAGTTTCAGGGCAAACTTTTGACTTTGTTATGTAGTGAGCAGAAAAACACTTTTTCGCTTGCCCTCGCCCATTCTCTCCGCGTAAAAGGCGATTGTCACCCATTTTGCCTGCATGTGTGCCTACCCGATAAGCTGGTATGCTTCGCGAACAGTGCAGTATGAGGGCGTGTTCCTACGTAACACGATGTCAGGTCAATTCGTGTCATTTGAGATTTTGCTGGTCATGTTTGCCCGTAAAATTTAGTTTGACACGAAGTAGCGCGACATTGTGTCGCTTAGGAACACGCCGTGAGATGCTCGCTGATATGTACCCCTTGTTTCCTCTATTGTCTCACCCGGAACAGTCCAAATTGCAATCCCACCTACCAGGCTCTCAGCATGACTGGCGTTCACACTGAACCTGATTGGCTGAACGATAGCGAACAACCAAGTCGCATTTCGACAATTGCGAGTTTTAGAGCTGGGACGTCGCGCGGGCAACTAAACTAGTGCATGAGAGAGATTTTGTAACCAAGTGTCGGTGCTTAATATGGGTTTTCCCCTTCAAGGTCTCGTTTGCCCGTGTTTTACCATTTCCTGCTTACAGGCTCAAGCCGCGTACAAAAACCGTGGGACTAAATAGAAACAAGAGTTGAAGAAATCGTCTTAGGGTTGCGGAGCTTTTGTTGATTAAGTAACGTTATAATTGCTTAATGACTATTCATAGTCATGAGAAAGCCTTGCAAAACATAACATAATTATAATAGTCGCAATAAATAAGGTGACGACAAATGTGAGAAAGGGATAGCAAACCAAACTATGCAAGTAACTATGCAACAACTTATATCTCCAACCTTTCAACAAAGCAAAGAGCGCTTTGTAAGAATAGAGCTGCAAACCAACCCCATAATATAGCATTTCCAAACCACTAAGCCAAAGAAGTCTCTTTCATGTAAAAACAAATATATTTAGACGTTGTTTTGTGATGACGTTGAATCCCTCAGGTTTCATTCCTTCACTGCCACCACCTTCCCCGTTTCTCGCCAGCAAGGTTTCCTAACGCGCCACGCCTCACCTCTTCTAGGATATGTCTCTCACATCCTTCACTACTATGTTGTTTGTAGGGCCGTAGGCATTGCACCTATTATCCTAAGTCGCATCTTGGGCTGCAGTTACACTACAACCTAGCTGTTAGGTCGTTTTGTGGGCTGCAGCATAGCGACCTAATTCGTAGGTCGCTTTTTGGGCTACAGCCCATTGCGACCTTCTACTGAGGTCGTTTCTTGGGCTGCTGCCCATTGCGACCTAATAGTTAGCTCGTTTCTTGGGCTGCAGCCCATTGCGACCTTATAGTTAGCTCGTTTCTTGGGCTGCGGCCCATTGCGACCTAATATTTAGATCCTTTCTTGGGCTGCAGCCCATTGCGAGATAATAGTTAGGTCGTTCCTTGATCCCCTCCCCCCCCCCCCCCCATTTGTGTTACTCTCTTCCTCTCCTCTCCTGCTATCCTTCCTCCATTTTTC